TGGTGACTATGGAAGAGATGCATGGAAATACTGTAAGCAGCTGACACACTTTCTACAATTTGTAATGGAAGATGGGTTTTTTATTTTTATGTTTGTTTGTCCTTGTTCAAAAACAAATAAAAATGGGGGGGGGGGTTTATAAAGAAGACGGAAGTGCTACCTCACCCAACATCAAAGGTGGAATATTCCCGGATCTGAGTGGCCCAAATTCCCAGACCGACCCAGTCTTGTTAGGACTCAGTTGGAGACATTGATTCCCTGTCCAAATCCATGCAGACAAACTTGACAGCCTTAGTTAGCTAGACCAAGGTCAGAATATATAACTAGGTATCAGCAGCATGTGGATGACACCAAATCCTAAATATAAATGCATAAACCCCAAACAAAAGCAGCATAAATGAATGCCTAAATATGGATGAATTTATAATATTCTCTTTATATTGCCTTTAGGAACCTTTGGTAGTAATGCTTGATTCTCCAAGACCTCTAACACTAGCAATGTGCCAGTTTCTGGCAGAAATGCAAGAGACAAAAAAAGGATCTGTGACCCCTAGAGAACTTTTCTCTCAGATTTGTAAAAAGTGAGTGATTTATTTATAAAATTGTAAAAGTACAGTTTCAGCAGATATATTTTGTGTAATTTTATATCTATTTAATTTTAAACTGATCAGAATACAAAACTAGTATTTACATTTTTATTATCTATATATTTATATATTTATCATTTATTAGAGCAGATCCAAATGAGAGAGAAAGATTTGGATCAGATCAAAAGAGTTAGCAGATCATTTTATTTATTTATTTTATTTACAATTAGCTTAAACCAATATTTGAATCTAATTCAACATCAGTTTCTTATCCAATTATAAGAATGGACTGGGACCTTAAATTTTGGGGAAGTATTACATACTAAGCCAGCATGTCCATTTAAGAGAGATATCTGTATGTAGAATGTATTATAGTTTATACTCAACGTCTTAGTCATAATTGTATTATATTGTTTTGATAATATGCTAATTTATTTAAAGTGTTATAACTAACTGAACAGCTAAATATTGAAGTTAAATTATCAGTTTATACATACATACACACACACCACACACCTTTTTCAGACATTCAAGGTGACAATTTACTTATAAATATACAGTATAAAGGTTTTTGTATTGTATGCATTTAATAAGGAATTAATGCAGCATTTTAGAAAGATATGCATAAAATTATATTGTGAATCTCTTTTTAAGCAATATTTTTCTGACAGTCAGATTATATCAGGAATAGTACAATGAAATAATCTGTTTCATAATTTCAACAATATTTGTTCTTATAACACCTGATTTACAACCCTGCCCTCCATTGTTTGGAAATATTAAGTTAATGTGCAATTTTTCTGTACCATTTTTTGCTTTTTGTAATATTTATACAGCATTGCACTTTCCTTAATCTGTGCATATTTTACAATAGAGCAACACGATTCAAAGGATATCAGCAGCAGGACAGCCAAGAGTTGCTTAGATATCTATTGGATGGGATGAGAACTGAAGAAATCCAAGTAAATATTTCATGATGAATCATTATTGTAATTTTATCCTGAAAGACACATTCTTCTTTATATACAAAAAAGATTAATGAGCATGAAACTCAATTATTTCTGAAAATCAGCTGACAAAATCTATATATTAAGTAACTTAAGTCTTCTTTAAAAAATGGATATGAGCTAGGTTTCAATTTTGTACATATTTAGTGGATCTGTGATTCATGTTGGCTAAACACAATTTTTGTCATTCTAATTAAGAAGAATGCTTATTGAACTTTTATGTACAATATAAGCAATATGCTAAATTTAGCAATAGCAATAGCAGTAGACTTATATACCGCTTCATAGGGCTTTCAGCCCTCTCTAAGCGGTTTACAGAGTCAGCATATTGCCCCCACAGTCTGGGTCCTCATTTCACCCACCTCGGAAGGATGGAAGGCTGAGTCAACCTTAAGCCGGTGAGATTTGAACAGCTGAACTGCTGGTAACAGTCAG